CAGTCTATTTTGTTACCCTATATAAACAAACTCTGTCACTACATTCCTTTATCCATAGCAACTTCCAGTGGGTAATCCACAAATCAATTAAAGGCAAGTTAATTGCCAAAAATGGATCAAGTGACAAGCATTAGAAGCATAATATTTATGGGCACTATCCTAAAACTTCATGTGTTGGAAAAGTTTCATCCGGCTAGCTTTCCTTTTAATTCAAGATTTAAAAATTTGTATTATTTCTTTGAAAATAAAAAAATAATCTCATAATTACTCTTAGCTTATGATGGTTATGTTTTGTAGGCAGTCACGGACAGATATTTCAAACAAAACAAGGTTCCTACTATAGGGCTATTACTACTGCTATTGCTTTTTAAATTCCAATTTTCTTTGCTTTAGTATTTTCTATGTATAAAAATTTTTGAGATAGTGTGAAACAATGTAATAGAAAGTATATTGTAAACTGCTCCTCCTTCCCCTACATCTTTTCATCTTCCTCCTTGTTTTACTTTCCCTCATTGTATTTTTATAATAACAGAGAAGCAAAGGCAAATTCACTCAAGAGACTATAGAGACTGAAAACAAGTCAGTAATGAGGTCAATATTTATATGGTTCCATTGACGTTGTGCAATTCTGAGTTTCATGGCTAGAACTACAAATGTACTCACAGATGTATGGAATGGATATGTCTGAACTTATATGCAAATAAATTATCAGTTTCTTTAAAAAGGCTTCCCTGGCTTCCCCAAGCAGAACTTCTCATCTCAGTCTCTATTTATTTTATTTATTGTTAACTAATTTTCTCTCTTCCTCTACCAGAATGTAAACTTGATGAAAGCAAAGACCACATCCATTTTGTCCCTCACTACATCCTGTTACATTTTTAGGAGTATTTATAAGTCAGTTGTTAACACCCAACAGTTATTAAAAATTAAATTACATAAAAGTTGTTAATTATAATTAAATTACATTAAAAACAATGGAAATAAGTATTCAAAACTCATAACCTCTGAATGATTTGGTTACATTTTACTATTATTACGTTTTGGGGGCAATTTATGTCTATTGTATCTATATGATAGAAACACCGTATATAGTACTATGTATCTCTTGCCAACTCCACATTTAGTGACCTCTGCAGTTTGAAATGGGCGGGTGAGAGAATTTTTTTGCACAGAAATAAGCAGTTACTACAAATAGTGCCTTCCCCCTCCCCCATGGAGAGCTGGTTGTGAACATTTACTGCCTGAATGATCTTTTACATTCTGTTCTGTTCATATTTGAATGTTTAATTCATTGTTATAATAATTTTAGGGTTTTGTTTTTATAGAGTTTATTTCTTTAGCTCACCACAAAACTTATCTTTTCAAAGTTTCACTTCAAAGCTTTCTCTTTCTTTTCTTTTCTTCTTTTTTTTTTTTTTTTTTTTTTGGAATGTGACTTACATACTTGTTATCTTTGAACTGTCTTTTGCATTTGATTGGCTTAACATAATTACAGTAATATATATTTACTCTATTCACAAATCCATCTTTCCTCTTTATCATTTTAGTTTTTTCTTCCAAATTTACACTATTACCAGCTAATGAATTATATAATTTGAGCTGTGTAACATGGCTCATGCCTGTAATCCCAGCACTTTAGGAGGCTGAGGTGGGAGGATAACTTGAGGCCAAGAGTTTGAGACAAACCTGGGCAAAACAGACCCTAAAAAAAAATTTGTTTTTAAGCCAGGAATGGTAGGGTGCGCCTGTAGTCCTAGCTACCCAGGAGGCTGTGACTGGAGAATCCCTTGAGCCTAGGAGTTTGAGGCTGCAATGAGTGATAATGATGCCACCATACTCCACCCTAATGACAGAGCGAGATCCTGCCTCTAGAATAAATAAATAAAATAATACAATCGGACAAGTTTTAAAGTACCATATAGTACTCTTCCTTTGCCAATGGAATTTTCTTTTGCTCTGATTCAACTCTGTGTACTTATATAACCCAGCCTTATGGAAAATCAGACACCTCTCTTCAGCCCCTTGTCAAAGTCAAAAAGGCTTGTCAATTATAGTTCAAAGGTAGAAAAAGTAATGGAAGTTAGGAGGAGGGAGAGCCAAGATAGAAGGTGGGTATATGACTGTGGCAAAGAACATGATAGATGCTGAGGGCTCCGGAACAAGGAGTACCAAGGTAAAGTGTATGGAATTGAATGCTTCCTCTTTCGTGAGAAGTATTCCTTATTTGCTCTGCCTAGATCAGACAGGCCTTGATTCAGCTGCTCAGTCAAGGTACTGTCTCTTAAAATCACTTGATGGGGGCTCAACCACTTCATGACTTAAAGACAAAAATGCACTTGTTGAAAATCATAAAATCAACATTATGAAAATAAACAGTATAAATTTTACAAACTACTATTTAAGCATAAACACTCATACCTATTACACATTCAGAAATGGTATGGTTTTAACAACAGTGAAAACCATTCTCACACTGATGATCAGAAATACCCACAGCATGATTCTAAACCCTTGGCAGTGGGGAGTGTCTCTTCTTCTTTAGTCACCTTGATTTTTTTGTACATCTCCTGGCAGCACATTTGACAGAGCTCTGTGCTGGTCCATAGCCTGCAGGCTACCTTATAAAATCAATACCTTTATATTTATTGCAGAGTTTGTAATCTTTCTGCCTGTGGTTGTTCCATGCGCTGTCATGATAAGACAGAAAACACTCAAACTGTATTTCCCGTCTCTACCTGTTTCTAGTCTACATTGATAATTGAACAGATTCTTTTGAATGTTAGAGATGGGGCTTTCCTTCAATTTTGAAAAAAATGCATATAACGCATTCTACAAAAATGTTGTTTACAAAGTGGTACTTCCCTACAAGAATCCTATTGTAGCTGTCGTAGCAAGTGATTTTTAGACTTGTAAGTAAAATGTCTGAGCATAATTTTACTTGGATACGTCTATTATTCAGAAACCTGTCCTTCCATGGTCATTGCCCAATTATGACTCTTATACTCTCTCCTGTCTGCCAGAAGTGTGCTCCAAATCATTCATTCTTTTTGCTGCCTTACTGAAGGCATTGAATTAGATGGCATATGTACTGAAGTCAGGGGGTGGGACAATGGAACAAAGATTTTCACAGAAGCACACAGAGCTAGGGTTCTAGCTCTGGCCAGGCCACTATCAAGCTGCATGACCCTGGGGCCTTTCAGGATCTTCAAGCTCTTCAATGTAAGACAAATGAGTTTGAACAAATGAACCATCAGGTTCCTTCATCTCTAACCCCCTGTTCCCATGAATGTGGCAAAAGGAAGCACAGTGTCCTTACACTTGCCATGAATTGGAACACATTTGCTAATAGGTTCATTCATTTAATACATATACGCCAAGCACCTACTATGTACCAGACACTCTTCCAGGCATTGGCTATACAAAGGTGGAAAAAAGGACAAAAAAATTGCTGCCATGTGGAGCTTACATTCTATTATTAATAATAGCTGAAATTTATTTTAGTGTTGTCTATGTGCCAGACACTTTACATGGCTAACACAGCTAATCCTGATAACACCGCATTTTACAAATAAGGAAACTGAGGCACATGAAGTAACTTTTCCAAAGTCTCATAGCTACAAGCGATAATGTGAAAATGTGAACCTCAGCAGCAGTGTGACTGTAGAGCTAGCCAACAGTCAATCATTCCTGCACACTACCTTTCTAAGGTGAGTCTGGGTTGTATGTGCAAGTTGCTTATAAGGTAACCATTTATAACGCAGCTCTACTGTACTATTCTGTGACCAACAGAGGTACCAATGATGACAGTTTATCTGAAAATGTATTTCACAAAAGAAGCTTTATAAAATTTGTGAAATGTTAGTGAAGACTTGGAAAATGCTATGAAAGGGGTGGTAGGTAGTCCTGCACTCATGTACATGCTTTCATCTAATCTGCACAATGGCCTTATGAAGTAGATACTTTTATTTTCTATTTATGTATATGGAAATGGCTCAGAGATGTTAGGAAAAACTGCCCAATCAAGAAAGCAGCAGAGTTGGCACTGGAGCTTGGTCTGTTCGGCTGTAGAGCCAAAGTTCTCCTCCTACACCATGCTACCTTTTCCGACAATATGCAATGGTTGTTAGCAGTATTGTTATTCTTAGGTATAAATGTTGCCTATACACTAATTATTTTTTCATTGTCAATTTAGCCAACATTACTCACAATTTGAAATATCATTAAGAAGCCTAGTTTAATAGTCAAGACTATGCCAGTAGAATAAATAGACATGACACAGGATGAAGTTGACCTCTCTAGCTCAGAGAATCTTCTGGCTCCTCTGAACAGCTGGCCAAGGAGTAATATTTTGGCAGTAAAATACAACCACATGACCAATGTTTTTGGCCAGATGAAATGAGCCAGATGGAAGCCCATGAAGCAAAACCCAGAAGGGGGCAGAAGCAGACAATATAAAATCACTGATTCATTTTCCTTTTTCTTTTTTTTAATATAAAAATATTTTTATTTTGATGCTTTTGCTTAGCATTCTTTTAAACCAACATCAATTAGGTTAGAGGACAGTTTAGATATTATTTAATAAGTTTATATTTTAACTGATTACTAAGCCCTATTCTATAACAAATCACATGGTGTTCTGTCTTCAGAGAAAGATTCAGAGCTAAGTAGAGAAGATAGTACATCTGTTAGAATAATACCTGTCATTACGGAATTTTTTCCTTGTGTGCTAATAGGATCTGGTCAGGAAGCTGGAGGTGGGAGAGTGACCAGCAGTCCCGGTTCTAACACAGACTTCCAGAATTCATACCAGTGCAGGTTTCTTAAACTTGCTCTGCCTGGTTTCCTCATTTGTAAGATAAAGGTAATGCTAGATGCACTTCCCAAGGCTGTTTTGGAGGATGACATGCTTGAGTTAATGCATGTATGGGATTGGGAATGCTTCATGGTGCATAGTAAGTGTCCAATACAGACTAGCTCTATTGTTCTTACTTTGGACTTTCTTTTTTTTAAGGTAGAAGGCCAGAACTTTATACCACATGATCCAGCATAAAGGCAGTCTTTTTACTTCATTATTCAGGGACAGGGCTTTAGCAGCTGATCTGTTACACACCAGGTGTCCCCCGTAGGAATTTCTTAAACCACAGGTATGATGTAGCTGCAGAGAGTCCACACCAGGTGACAATGTACTGCAGATGCTCGTTCCTCAGAGTAACTCTGGTTTGCCCTCCAATGGGTCCTCCAGGGACTGTGCTCTCCCAGGTCGGTGCAGTGGAAGGGAGTGACCACATAGGCCCCACTCTGAGTTGAGGAGGAGATGTGGCCAGCCTCCCAGGCCTCCCGGGCAGGGTCCACCATGGTCCGGGGCATCATATACAGCTCCTTGGAGTGGTCAAAGCACCCCTTGACTTTCACTGGCCTATACTCCATATTTTTCAGTTCCATTGGGTCTACTGGTAGAGGGACAGGCTCAGCCAGAACTCTAGACTCCCACTCTGCAATCAGGTTCAGCTTCCACTTCCGACGTTGGACCTGCCATGTCCCCAAGCCAAAGGCAGTCACAGGGATGAAGAGCAGGACCCACTGAATAAAGGAGTCATCTTCCGCTTTTGTGGCAGATGCTTCTGCTGCAGAACTGCCACATCTGGGCGCGGGGAGAACCGGAGGACACTCTTCCAAGCGGCGCTGGCAGGGGCCCGTCCCAGCCCCGCCGCCCGCAGCCCCAGCTGCCGTGCAGCCACCGCCGCCATCGCACCCGGCCCCGCGGGCCTACTTTGGACTTTCTAACCACATATGTGTGTGGTCTCTAGTCCCTGAACCTCCAATTGTTCTTCTCCTATTTGATAATAATTACATCCATCCTTTTCACTTACCCTAAAGCATTAAGTGAGATGAGCTGTGGCACACTAAAAACAACAGTTGTCAGATCTGTTACATCTGAAAAGCTTTGAAAACTAAAAAGTGCTATGCAACAGGAGGTATTCTTGGGGTATGCAGAAAGTTATGTCCTAGTGTACTGATTCAGGTGGCGCTCACTCCCTTTCTAAGATGTGGGTTCCAGACAGCTTTTTCTCATGGGAATTGTGCAGTTTGGTTGGGCAATCACTGATGTGCTACCACTTAGGTTTTGGAAGTGGCCAAGAGTAGCTATGAGACCACACTCTCCTATGATCCCTGCTCATATCTGCTACTATACAATTTCCAGATCAAAGTTGCAGATTTGATCTTTACTTCCTAAGAATACAGGGGATAATTTAGGGATATCTAGATCTTCTTATTTGGGCAAATATTGCTTTATCTTTTCATAGCCCAGATATCATTTATGCTTTTGTTTATTGATGTGATTGTCATTCCTCCTTCCTTCTAGTGTTCAGTCTACGTCATATCAAACAAATTTACTCATTAGACCTTCTACATCAGGTATAAGCATGCACATACGTACTTAATTAATCACCTGTTTGGTAGCTCTGCTAAAATGCTGGGAAGGAAAAGATGTTGAAACAATTGGCAAAAATGAGATTTGGAGATTTTCTGAGAATTTCTATCCCCTGACCCCTATTACTATAAAGGGCAAGAAAACTAGAAGACACTTTTTGTTTCTGGTCTGTGGAATGCTATGGAATAATCTCTGCCCTACATTCAAATGTACTCTGAGTGACTTTCTCTTCTATTTACGTAGTACCTACCCTATACTCATCACGTAAAATGTTCCTTTTAACATCCCTTTTTAAGAAGACAGAAAGCAGGAAATGTTTTGTGATTTGTTCTCTTTGGAAGACAGAATCATCTCAAGAAGAGTAATTTTCTATTTAAAGTTTCCTTGAACACTACTGTAGTTTTAAACAACAATGTATTTTAAAATACAAAATTCCCTAGTGTTCTCTTATTGGAGTTGTCAGGGTCCACACGCTTGCTAAATGTTTGCTCCTTGATTCTTTCCTTACTTCCCAGATAGTTTTTCCCCATCTTTTTTTAGGTACTATATTTAAACAACCAATATAAACTTATCCACATTGTTTTCTCAAATTTAACATGAGCACATCACTCTCCTCTTTCTTCTCTATAATACTTGGGGGCGCGTTGCTCTAACGTAATTAGGTGAATCTTTAAACACATGTGCCAGAACCTAGGCAGATAAATCAGCACCTTGCCCTCAAAAATAGTACTCATCTTTGTAAGCAGTGCCCTAATGCTAACACTGATCCCATTACTGAAAATATGGTTGGCACTCTCTTCTGGGTTCACAAAGAAAAAGTAGCTTCCTTATTATGTAATCCTCTGCTTTCTCTCTTTTTTCTGTTCCTCACTCCTCTCCCCACGGCCCTGCTCCACTCCCCTCTCCTGCCTTTCCTTCCCTCTCCCTCTTCTTTTCTCTTTCAATCCCTCTTTCTGCCTCAAACCAAACTTAATAAGCTATATATTAATCATTTTTGTTTTTTTTATAAAAATCTATTTCAACCACATAAGACAAAAAACTGTCACAGCTGAAAAACTTTCAAATCTATTTTGAGCATTGTAAACTGTTTAAGATTGTATTTCTCAAGAGTCAACACTCATTAAATGTATATGATTTGCTATTACTTTAACAAATCAGACACTAATTGAATTTCATATCTTACAGACTTGGCTTTCCATTAGCCTGAATGTTACCAGGGAGCGAAAGCCATGCCAAATAAAAATATTCCAGCTTAAAGCTAAGTGTACCCCCAGTATCATGCATTATTATCAATTTGATAGTCAAAGAAAAATGACACTACAATAGGCACATTTGAAGATTTTACAAGATATAAAATATTGCTCATAAAAAATATGGGAGAAATTCAGTGAAGAAATGTTGTCTAATGTCCAGTTCTTTCAGTTGCTTCAACAATGGAATCATATCCAAAGCCTCTTAAAGGTCAAGATAAGCTTAAGTTACTTTTGCCATTTAAGGATTTTGTATATTTTTTTAAATTAAGAAATGCAAAAACAAGGCTGTGACATTATGAGATATTTTACATGTTTACATCAAATAGTTTAACACCTTTAATTCCAAGAATGCTATGCAATAAAACTATGTTCTTCAGAAGATAATTATAGCATTTAACTGTGCGTGCATGTGCCTGTGTGTGGTGTGTATATGTGTCTGTATATATATATAGCCACTCATGGTGCATCTGAGGTATTATGGTATGATAAAAATTTTAAGTTATATAATAAGTACCTTTTTGCATTATTGTCAGTAGATTGTTGTGGCTGAATGCATAATCTCCTTTGGATGAGTGAGGGACCTGCAGAAATGCGAGAGCCAGTGGCCAACTGCCTTCCTACCTCCCTAACCCTTCCACTCAATTCAACTTATGATAGATATGATCATATCAAGTTGGTTATGCCAATAAAGCATTATGGGGTGATGCCAAATAAGAAAGGGTAACAGGATACTTTATCAAATAGACATTACTGGCATTCTTGCTGTATATAAAGAAGCTTCAAACCTCAAAGAGTTTGTAGTGCAACTGGAAAGATAAACTAGAACCTCCAAACAGTGAAAACAGCACATATAAAAAATTAATTATTATGTGGGAAATTATATATTCAAATTAAGAGGAAATAAAGGAAGGACTAAGTCTCTGAAGCTTCCAAAGGAAATGGGCTCATGATGGATATTTGAGATGTCATCCTTACCTCTTAAACTTGTTACAAATTAAGTTTGTTAAAATTACAGATGTGAGGTATTCAAATACATGAAAAAGTTATCCTTAGCTGCTAATGCTTATATTTTGGAAAGGGCCAGAACTTGACCAAAGGAACCTTGAAAACATATATTTATCATATAGCTTTAAATTTTTATCATACCATAACACCTCAGATAAAAATATCTTTGCCAAACTGAGAGTAGAGCTTAAACTTTGCATTTCGTGAGATTTCTCAAATTCTTTAGTCCATCAAGCTACTGCTTTTACTTTATTCAGCAGTTGGAGATTTATGATATTAAAGAGCTTGTGATCAGATCTCAGTGATGAAGAGAGCCTAGAAGCCACCATATATTGGAAATATGCACAGTAAAGTTAGCAAATAATTGATGTTAAGTTCTGAATGTACAATTTAGCATATAATAAACATGAGAATCACATTCGACAGAATGCAAAGCACATAGTAGGCATGTAATTCAAATTTTCAACCAAATTTTATAGCTGTTACAAACTAACGTAATAAATCGTTAATTTCTTTTCAAATAAAAATTATATTTATCTCTTGCCAAAGTTTGCTTTTGCATGGTTATAACAAATTTTTTAATTTGATTTCTCTGAGTTTATAGTTCCCTAAAAGTTCCAAGGACATTGTCTTCTTTACTGTCTAAAGCAAATAATCCTTATAAATCATTTTAATTCAAATTTTGAATGTTTTCTATGCAGGAAAATCAGAACACATTTTAATCCTGTGTTAATGTACATTTCTACATAGGCCTGGCAGCTTCCAGATGTGCTACATTTGGTCTAAATAAGAAAGACCTTATATCCTTTTTGCAAACAATGTCACTTCTATTTACTATTGATTAAATAGATACCTTTCAGTGCTATAAATTTTAATCAATAAAAAACAAAAAAAGCTTTTATTTATAAACAATAATAAAGAATAATCAATCTTCTCTTTATTAATACCTAGAATACTCAAATGAGAAGGAAATCCAAGATTTTTTAAAGTATCTTCTTTTTTTCCAGTTATTTGGTTAAAATAAGCTGATTTTCTTGTAAAACAGTCATTGACAGTTTAGTGAAGTCATGAGGTCAAGATTTTTAATATTATTTCCAGAAACAAAAGATTATTAAAATATTTAGTTTGAATTCATGGCATCTAATTCTGCTGGGCAAGATTAACACTGAATTACTACCTGAAACAGCATTAGTTTCAATTTTTTCATGTGGATGTGCCCTGAAACACTTATAAAGAATACTGTAGTGTTCTTGTTGTTGGTTAGTCAAACAGGAACCCTTCCCTAACATTTAGGTTGACTATATTAAGGCATTAGACAAGTTAATACACTGTTTTTCAGGTGGCAGTATGAATGCTTTGTTAAGTTTGCCATTTAACTCTCAAAATTAGCTTTTAAAGTTAGTCAACTTTCTTCAACTTCTGCATCATCTTCTTGGCTCTTATTTCATATATTGTCAAATTAACCAGCATTAGGAGTTAGAAGGTCAACGTAGGGCAAAGGCTTATTTGCAAGGGGCCTAAGGCAGTTAAGCAGTTCTTCCTAGCTACAAAAGGAAAAGAGCAATACCTGTAGGACTTTGAGAAACGCAATCTTGATTTGGCTCCTGTAGACGGTCCTGGCACCGTGGCTCCCAGAGGATCCCAAACAAAAGCCATTTGTAAGGACGATGCCAAGATCCACAGGAACCACGAGAAGTCAGAGCTGGTGCCGGGCCCTGGGGCCCTGAGGCCCCGCAGGGAGCAGGAGCAGGAGGCACTTGTAGCTGAGTGAGGGCATTTCCTTTGTGCAGTAGTATGCGCTGACAGAGAGGTGGCAGGCTGGCTGAGGCAGGGCTGGAAGGGATGGCCAGGACTTCCTGCTGCATGACACTTGGCCTTTGCAACAGAGCTTGCTTCACTCAGGCCTTATCTCATAATTAATGTGAGAAACACTCCCTAGAAAATTTGTTTTTAAATATAGCCCTGATTAAACAGCATAGTCACATGCCACTCCTGAAAAGCACAACACACACACACATGCATGCACACATGCATGCACACACAATGAAAGGTGTAGTTGAAGTGGGTAA